AGTGGCCCCACCCCCCGCATGGTGATCACGGGGTCCCACCCCCTCCCCCCAACATGGTGATCACGGGGTCCCGCCCCCTCCCCCCCCACATGGTGATCACGGGGTCCCCCTCACCCCACACGTGGTGACCACGGGGTCCCACCCCCTCCCCCCGCATGGTGATCACGGGGTCCCCCTCACCCCACACGTGGTGATCACGGGGTCCTTGAACACGCAGCAGCACAGCTGGCAGCACAGCTTCACCGACGGCTGCTCGGCAAACACCAGCGGTTCCTGCAGCCCCACAGGGGGGCGGGTGACATGTGGCCCACAGACCCCACAGAGCGGGGGGCTGCTCTCTCATGGTCGGGCGCCTCACAGCTTGGGGTGAGCCCTGAGAGGCCTGAGCGTGAGGGAGGCCAGGAGAGGGAGAGGGCAGGAGGGTACGCGGCCCAGAGCAGCGCCAGACAGGGCACTGTGGCCAGCGGGAGGACGGGAGGACGGAGCCAGCTGCCACCTCCCGCTTCCTAGATGGAGAACAGAAAGGGCCCCCCAGGCCCCCCACCCTGTACGCCCCCTGGCTGGTGCCCTGCTGCCCGGCGGCACACGGACGCCCCTCAGGGCCTGCTGGCCCCACACCCACCCCTGCCCCTACCGAGGACCCTCCCCACGTACCGGCTCCTCCTCCTCCTCAGGCAGCGAGAACGTGGAGCGCAAGGACATGCTGGACTCAGAGTGCAGGGAGCGGATGGAGATGGCCGAGTCAGAGCGGCGCGGCGTGCTGATGGGGGGCTGCAGCACACCAGAGGCCAGCAGGGGCCTGTCAGGAGGGCCTCCGCGTGGGCCCAGCAGGGGTCGGCACCCCCAGTCCCGGGAGGCGGGGTGGGGCTAGCCCCCGTGGACACTCGACAGCAGAGCCGCCCCCCTCCTAGCGGGCTCTCACAAAGCGAGCCCGAGTCCCCAGAGGGGCCGCGGCGTGGGGGAGCGGTGTGGGCCCTGAGCCCCCGCCCACCGGCCGCTGGCCCCGACACCCGCCGTTCTGCTGCCCGCCCTCAACAGCCACCTCTCTTTGTGTAAATGGAGAGACTTCCTGCTATTCAATTCTACGAGGACACGCTGGGGCTGCTTCCTGCTTCCCGTGATGGAACGAGGGCACGGAGAGAGCACCCCCACCAACCAATCCTGGGGGCCGTGGCCTGAATCCGTGGAGGGAGCAGGCTGGGAAGGGGCACGGGCTCCGGTGTCACAGGCTCGCTGCCCCCGCCTGGCCACCCTGCCCAGGGATGGTGGGGACAGATCCAGCAACCCCAGGCCAGCATCCCGGGAAGCAGGGGCTGGGTGCTAGCTCTGCCTGAGCTCCCACAGCATGCCCTGCCAAGGTCGGACTCCGGTAGGAGCACTGCCCCTGCCTCCCCACTGGGCCTGGTAACTGCTAGAAGAGCTCCTGTAAGCACTGCTGCTCCCTGCAGCCCCCCATTCCTGAGCCCCAATCCTTCAGGATAGCAATGCATAGGCACCCCAGCCGCCCATACCCGGCATGCCTGCCACACCTCCTAGGCCTGGCCTTTCTCCCTCAGACCCAGCTGCAGGGAGCAGCCTCTGCTCTGGCCGAGCTGCCCAGCTGGCTGTGCCTTCCTGGGGCATGGAGGCTGCTGGAACACCCCCCAGCCCTAGTGGGAAGCCCAAGGGCTGCAGAGGTCCAGGCCACAGTGCCATCCCTGGCTCCCCCCAAGCAGGGGGTGCAGAACCTCGTGTACCCATGGGCCCAGACACACGCCTCCTGGCCAGGGCAGTGCCCCTGTGTGTCAAGTGGCCTGGCGTCTGTGGTGTTTGCACAGACTCGTGGCACAGGAGAAAGATGACAGGAAGTGAGTCACAGCCTCCCGGGACAGCCAAGCTCAGGGCCGTACAGCTCCACTCCCACTGCCTGCCTGTCCCATACTGGCTGCTCGCGAGGTCCCTGCCCGCAGAGCCAAGGGGCTGAGGGCCAGGCAGGCCTGGGCTGGGCCAGCAACCGTGTCTGAGCTGGGGGTCAGGAAGAACCCTGGCCTGCGGGGCCCCAGCCAGAAGAGAAAGTGCCCCTGGGCGAGCATGGTGGCTGCCTCAGGCCCTCACGGTGCTGCTTATGCCACCTTAGGTCCACCTCACTCTGTGTGGCCACTCAGTCAACAGGCCAGGTCAGAGGTCGTGGAGACTGAGGCAGGCGGGGGCCCAGGGATGCCTAGTACAAGGCCCAACACAGTGGCAGACACACAGCATGTTTGTTAACTTAGAACAAGCCCCCCCTGCGAAACAAAAAGGCCCAGCAGCCCAGCATGAGGTGAGGCTCGGGGTCCTAAGAGAGGCTGGGGGAGCTGGAGAGCCAGCGGCATGTGTCAGCACAGCTGCCACGCCCGGCCAAGTCCAGCCTGGCAAAGGAGGAATTGAGGCAAAAGAGAAGCGACCCAGCGACCAGCCTGGCAGGGCTCGAGAGCCAGCAGCCAGCCTGCCTCTGCCTGACTCCCCTCCTCAGGTCGCACAGTCCCAGGAAATGTTCCAGGGTCCCCATGGTCAGCAAAGGCTCACAGGTCCCCACCTCTGCTGACGTCACAGCTCGGGTCCACCCACCCTCGCTCTTGTGAGGATTCCTGAGGCCTCCTGCTTCCACTCTGACAACCTGAGGCCGGCCTTCACCTGATGGCAGAGGGGCGGGTCTAGGCCCGATCTGATCCTTCCGATCAGGTGTCCTGCGCTCCTGTTCCCCTTAAGATGAAGCAGGCACCCCTCTTCCGGGCTGCCTCCACGGCCCAGGGCACCTGGGGCCCACTGGGGCCTCCTTCCCAACCTGGACTCGCCTGTGTACTCAAGTCTCAGGGTACCTGCAGGGGCTGTTCCCTCTGCCAATGGCCTTCCCTCCCCTCCCTCACCTCATCAGCCCCTTCTGCCTGCAGACCTTAGCCCTGGGCCGCGCCCGGGGGGCCCGGGGGATGGGGCAGGGGCACAGGGACCTACCATGCTGTCCTCCTCATCCCGCGGGGAGTAGGCGAGGGTGCTGGAGGAGGAGGGTGTCCTGCGGTGCTGTTTATACGTGCTGGTGCCGTCGGCTGGGAGAAGAGAGGCCGGGACCAACGTGAGCACAGGCCACTGAGGGGCCTGACCAGCACTGCGGGCACTGGGCTAGCCCACGGCTCTGCCAGGCTGGAGACACAGGCTGGGCGTCGAGCAGGGGTTCTCCACAGACACTCCTTGCCCCCGCCCCCGCTCCGCAACAAACTGCCTCTTTCTGGGTCTGAGGGGGCCACACAGCCGGCGCTGAGCTCTGGGGCCACTGGGAACTCTGCCACCAGGTGCTAAAAGGGAGACCTGGCCCCATGCCCCCAGGAGCACCTCCAGCCCCTCTGGGGCTGTCTCCTGCTCCCGGCCCTCCCTGAGCTGATGGGGGCAGGCTCAGCTGCCTCCCACAGTCAGACAGAGCCCGGAGCGTGGCCCAGGCAGGTGGGGAGGGGCCTTTTCTCTGAGCCCCTGTGACGGGGTTCCCATGGTCCCAGCTTGACCCGGGGCCGGCTCTGCGCCCAGCCAACACCCAAACGGCTGCACTGCGGGTCACTTGGCAGGAGCGGGGACATCAACTCACTTGACCTGCCCGTCACCCCTGGAAGCCCCATTTACACAGGAGGAAACTGAGGCAGAGGGCCAAGGCCTCAGCCGTGTGTGGCTGGGCCAGGATTGCATCTGGGGGTTCAGAACCAGGCTCTCCTCCCACGGGCCGGCCACAGACTTTCCGCCTCCCTCCCTGCCTCCACATCACAGCCCGCTGGGGCCAGTGGGCAGGGCTAGCCTGCCGTGAGGCTCAGCAGTCCACGAGGGGGCCAGACAGAGCCATCCCCACAGCCTTGGGGTCGGGATATCCCCCGGGTCCCTGCTGGTGGCTGGCTCGACCCCCTCAGCCAGAGGCCCTGCCGTGGCCGCCATGGCTCAGCCCCAGCCAGGCTTGGGTATGACGACCAGTCCCCAGGCCAGGGTTTAAGATCCAGGCTTTTCCTGCTGCCCTGTGGCTGGGCCTCAGTTTCCCCTTCTGTGATGGGAGGGGTTTGGGGGGCAGCTCTCTGGGCCTCATCTCCCAGTTGCTGCCTGGACTGGCTGCTGCCCTGGGAGCTCCCAGCTGCCGTGACGGGGCGCTCCGAGGTGTGCCGCCGGAAGCGATGGCCACCTCCCTCTTTACTCAGAAAAGACACTTGACCGGGCCACCCAGCAGAGGGCCTGGTGAGCCCAGGAGCGCGAGGCGGCCCACAACCCTGTGGCCACGTCTCCAGAGAAAACCACGGAAAAGCAATTAAAAAGCTAATTAGAGGTTCCTGTCCTCCTCCCAGGGGTGAGGTGCCAAAAAAGCAGAACAAACTCACACCCAGGAGCCCCAGGCCTGACGGGAAGAGCACACTCCCGCGCTTCTTCCGGAAGGGGGCAGCGTCCTGGCTGCCATTCCCTACGGCCTTCCTGAAGAGCCAGCCTGAGGCTATTGGACCGTACTCAGGAACGGAGCTCCACCGATGCTGGAGGGGCCGCGGATGCCAGGTGGGGAGGGGAGCTGAGGAGGGGGTGCCGGATGGCCTCACCCCTGCCTGGCCAGGGCCAAGACTGGCAGGGAACAGAGGGTGCGAGCTGAGTCGCCCATTCTCCCACCCACCAGGAAATGCCCCTCGGGAATGGGCGGGGGAGGAGGGAGCAGACCCTGTGCCCTGCATCTGCCAGGCCAGCCTGGGCTCAGAGGCTCACCTTTCGTGATGGTGGTGACAGCTGAAAAGGCAGGTCCGAAGGTCGTCTCCATCCTGGTCTACAGAGAGAGCAAAGACGCGGTCTCGGCCTGGGAGAGCGTGGACACGCACACATGGACACACAGCACACGCACACTAATGTACCACGTGTGTGTGGGCACAGACACCCCCCCTACAAACACACACGTGGACACGTGGCACACACACACACTAATGTGCCATGTGTCTGGGCACAGACACCCCCCCTAC